CTACTGCTGATTTCTACATTACATCTTGTGGTTTTTTTGCTCTTGTTATTATCTATTTCTTATGATATTGATAAGAAGTACCAACATGATACATCACGTAGCATTAAGCTAAACAAAAGAACAGCCTAAAGCATGTTTTATATAGCACCAAACAGGAATGCTAAGGTGAAAAACCACCCTAACCAAAACATCTGCCAAATTCTTAATAGAACCCTTCACCATCAACGTAAAAAAAATTCAATCTTGGTAGATCTCACAACTTTTTATCTACCACATAATAATCACCATATAATCTGAAAAAATGCATCATCTTATCAGTTTCAAATGCAAAATCCTGCCCTGAACTTTCTAAATCCATTTTAAGCCATTATGTCCAACTTTCAATTCAATGTAACACACAACATTTACTACTTCTTTTTTTTAAGAATATTTTTAGCATTGCCAAAATACACATGCACTTTTACTTTCTTGGGAGAAAATGTGTCTCTTGATTTGTTTCCAATGTATGTTATTCATGCCAGCAACTAAAATGCTTAAAGAATAATCACCAAGAGAATCAGCAACTAAACCTGCAAATTTTAATCAATAAATAATCTATTAACATACAAGTAAATTTGTCTTGGCTGGGTAAAATGTACGAATTCTCAGGGCTCTCAGCATACGTGGATGGCTCAAATAATTGTTTCACATATTCAAGGGAATATGACATCCATGGCAAGTACTTGTAAGATTTGCCCCTTCCTCACCTAATTTTGTGGTTGTGAATTCCACCTCCCGCAATTGCTGGTTATTAAATCCATTCCTTAACTTTTATTTTCTTTTGTTTCTATCATCAGGCTGTGAAGCTGGAAGTCACTGCCAAATATAAGGCAAGGAAGTGTGAGATATGCTCAAAATATGAGTCATAGTATATTTGGAAATTTATTTTTTTTAAACTATGAGAAGAACACATCACCCCTTCTCTATCCAAGTTCTCATACACCAAACGTCTAAAATTTGCTAAAACAGATCTCTGGCTATAGTGATTGAGGTCAAGATATATTGAAAGTTATCAGTGTAAAACATGCTTTTGAGTGCAAACTATTCAAGGTATGATGTCCTAATGAGACCATAGGATGCAAAGGTGTATTTAAATGCTCTGGCTATTTTATCAGCAAATCACAAGGTATATGAGAAATGATTCTCAGCAAGGTGATAACAAATGAGCTTCATAGCACTGTACTAGACTAAATTTTCCACATCTGTTTGTGCCAGTCCAGTTTACCTGACAAAGCCTGCCAGCCAGTATTAAATTAGAGAGCCGAGACTGAGATTTCACTTAGCAGTATTCTGCAGCAACCATAAATTGTATGCATATGAACTACATTCAGTATTCCTATCAAGCTGGCCTACCCTCCCTGCCTGTCAACTCATGAACTCAAGGGTGGGCAGAGCCACAAAGCATCTTATTAACAGAACCAACATTCTAGATTAACTTCTTCCCTTCCCCCCATATTTCATAGAAACAGAGCTCTAGACAACACTCATTAAGGCGTTTTTCAGCAGTGCCCTTGCCAAGCATGTAAAAAAGCAGAGCAAAGAAATTTCTATAGTATTCTATAATGGACAAAAATAAGTAACATCCAGTAAACACTGTACCTATCCAAAGGGATTAAGGTTTATGGTCATTTACTAAGTGCAAAGACAACTTGGTTCATTATTTCAATAAACTTTCTAAAATGGGCACATTTTTGGAATGGAAACTATACAGGTTGATTTTGTAAACTGTATGACAGAAATAATATCTCCTCTTTAGAGCAATGTGATCAGGCAGATGATGATATGTGTGTGTGTCTGTGTGTGTTTCTCAATAATCTCAAACCAATGCTCTAGGGTTGTTGTTTTTTTTGTTTTTTTGAAATAATACATTCTCATTTTACCAAAGCATTCGGGGTCTGTTATATGCAAGAAGACTTGCAGTATGTTTAAGACGGCAAAAGCTCCAGGAGTGAGGGAAAAAAGAATGGGCAGTCATTTGAATCAGTGACTGACAGGCTGGGCCAGCTCTCTGTATACATTAATAAATTAGAATTTTAATTGTGTCTCTGACTGCCGGAGCTGCTCCAGTACTTTAATATGTACCAACAATTGGCTATGTTATGGAATCTGCAATGTGGCCTTCACTGTTGACCTCTGCAACACAATTCCCAGTCTGACTATGGAAACTGTTTGGTTTGATCCTTTCAACTTATTTGAATCCTGACAAATAAGCTCACAGCTGAAAGGTCAACACAGTCATATTTCATCCTCTGGAGCTATTCTTAAGACATCTGCACAACAAAGCACTCCTTTTACTACCTGACACTGGACCTAGCCAGCACAATATCTCATTAAAAATGTCCCCAGCGGAAGAGTCTATTAAAAGGCATATGGATCAGCTATGGATTTACCAAATAAAATGTTTTTGGAAGTGTTAATATAACAGTTTGGATTATAGTGCTCCACACTTCCAATAAAATGTATATTTGCCCATTGACAAAACGATTCATACTTTCCAAAGGAATAATAGTTTAGATATAGAGAGAGGTGTTGCCCAGCAGACTGAGCACAGGGTTGGGAGCCAGGAATTCATGCATCCTAATCTCACCTCTAAAATTTCCTTCTGTGATCTTAAGCACGTCATTCAACCTGCCTGCCTCAGTTTCCCCATCCAACACTGATAATGGTACTTACTTATTGGACTATCCTCCTGAAGATGTTTTGGGGATTCATATTTACAAAGCGCTTTGAAGATAAAGTCAATACTTAAATGCTACAAATTACCATTACTGCACCAAAATTCTTCAGTTAACACAATGCTTACTCAGGCAAAACTCCCACTGAATTTATTGGGAGTTTGAGTAAGGACTGCAGAATTTTGCCCATAAGCTTTATTTTCAAGGTCTGTAGTGATGTTGTCTTTAGCTTTCATATTCTACTTCACGTTTAAAGACAACAGAATCTCTACTTGGGGAAGGAAAAGAATCTGAATCACATATACCCAATGAAAGGCAAGAGAAGAACTCATGCTGTCAGAGAACTAGAGTTGATAGTACAGCAAATAAAAACAAACAAGAAAAGACTAGTATAATTTTGGGCTACAAAGGGAGAAATATCAGAGCACAGAACAGTGAGAATAGCCCCTCTCTGGAGGACTCTGATGTGGCTCTACTTAAACTCCTGCATTTAGTTGTGGACATCTTATTGCCAGAAATACATTGAGAAACCGGAATTCAGAAGGGAACAACAACAAAAGTTATAATCACTAATAAATAAGAAAAATGATCAGGGGTCTGGAAGGGTTGATTTATTAGAACAGATCTAAAGAATTAAAGACGTACAGTTGGGTGAAAGAGACAGCTATGTAGGGGACATGGTAACATTTACACATTTGAAGAGTTTGAACACGAAGAATGGAGAGGAATTGTTTAGAGCAGCGGTTCTCCAACTTCAGCAACCCGAGGACCCCCATTCTGATTTAAAATTTTTCAGGGACCCCCAAGCCTCCCTGCTCAGCCCCAGGCCTTGCCCCCACTCCACCTCTTCCCCCAAAGCCCCACGCCTGCCCCACCTCTTTCCGCCCTGCACTCACTCCATCCTCCTTCCCTCCCTTGCTCTCCCCCACCCTCACTCACTTTCACCAGGCTGGGGCAGGGGGATGGGATGCAGGATGGACTGCGGGGTGTGGGCTCTGGGAGGGAGTTTGGGCGCGGGCTCTGGGCTGGGGTAGGGAGTTGAGAGGGGGTGAGGGGCGGCGCTTAACCCGGGCAGCTCCCGAAAGCAACCGGAACATCTCTCTGGCTGCAGCTCCCAAGCAGGGAGGAAAGGGGACAGGGGGTCTCCACGCTCTGCCCCTGCCCGCAGGCACCGTCCCACAGCTTCCATAGGCTGGAGCTGCGGAGTTGGTGCTCGGGATGGGGCGGCACGCGGAGACATAGCACCCCACACCAGGGGCTGCAGGGACGTGCCGCCGCTTCCAGGAGCGGAGCGGAGCCAGGGCAGGCAGGGAGCCTGTCTCAGACCTGCTGAGCCTCCAGAGGGGGAGGAGTTGATCAGTGGGGGCCACGGGCCCCCCACGGTCTACAGACCCCAGTTTGAGAAACACTGGGTTTAGAGTGTTACAAGGACTGTAATTTAGACTAATGGGATGAAATTAAGAAAAGGATAATTTAGGAACCAGGGAATACTTCCTAAGTGTCATGTTATGTTATGGAATAGTATTCTAAGGAGAGTCCCGCTGTTACTTCAGGCTTCTAAATACTAGAATGGCAAAAACAATAGGAAATGTAATGTAGGGAACAATCCTATATTGTCATTAACCAGACGACCTATTTGATCTCTCATATCTCTAGCTCCCATAATTTAGCCATCGTGATAAGTAGGCTACACCAAAAACCACACATTTATGCATACATCTTTTATTTGGAGATGGTCTATTGATTTTAGCCTTCTGAATTTGTAACAGCCCCACAAAGCCTAATAATATTTAGGCTTCCTAAAGAAGCTGCAAATATAGCACCCCTGTTGGGGCTGTGCAGCCCAAAAACAGTAAAAAATGATGATATGATATCATAATTGTTTCACAGTCCTCTTGACACAGCAAATCGATGGTTTGGGTGAACATGGATTGTAAATGGAACAGTCTTCAAATAAAAATGTTCAAGTCTTACAACAATAACGGACCAGTAAAACAAAACAAAAAAAATCATTCACTTTTGTGATAAACCTTCTCCACCAACTCCCAATAAAGACACGTTGTCAAAGTATGTCTACATTATGGGCGGGATTTTTGAAAAGCACCCAGCATTGTCCTCACTCTTTGCCCACTGGAGCCAACGGGAGTTTTGGCATTGACTTCAATTGAAACCTATTAGGCCAAAGCAGAGAACTTTGAAAATCTCAGCCTAAATTAATATATTACATTGTTCCTTATCTTTAATTAGCAATGTATTTGCATACACACACACACACACTTTTCTTACCTGAAGGGCTGGTTGTTTGTCATTCCTCTTAGGTGACTTTAATCCACTAACTTGTTGCTGCTGCTGTTGCTGCAGTAGAAACTGTCGTGCCACCTGCAGAGCCTGGAAGAAAAGAATTTTAAAAATTGAGTTTGTACTGTACAAAATTTGGGAAGCGGCATGCATAGTATTTGATCAGGACATCCCTTTGAACATCAGACACTGATCTACTCCCAGAAGCACGCTCACCAAAGAAATCCTGAGGCATGTGTGTGCTCATACTACAGTGGCTTCCATTAAAAACCTGAGCACTCACACACAATGTTGTGACATACCAGTTATCTCCCATTTTAACCATAGGGAAATATGAAAATAGTAGAGTTATTGCTACTATGTGGTAACTGTGGGTAACTGCTGATTTTTCCATGGTGACTACTATAGATTTATCTAACTGTATGTAACTGGAAAAGCCCAGACATCCATCAGATTGGCTTGGATGTTGGGTCCTGGGAAAATGGCTTATTATAAAGACTTGGCAGGCTTCATACTCTTTGTGTTCCTGTTATGGTCTGGAGTTTCTACAGCAAAGCAGGGCAGTTAACTGGATTGTCCCTTCTAGGAAGGGTGTTAACACATGTGCTGTGGGTCATGATAACTGGTGCAATCCTCCTAGGGCCAGAATAGGCAAGAGAGATTTCTGGAAAGTTACCATAGAAGGAGCAGCCAGAGGCAGTGGCATAAAGCAAGAGAGATGCAATACAATAAAAGGAGACATTCAGGCTCAGGAGGCACTTTTTATGTCAATAACGCTTCTTTGTAAAGGCTCGGTTGGTAGTGAGAGCCATGTGAAGGTAAGGGGGAGAGAGGGCAGAGAAAAACAGCCCAAGGAGAATGTGCTGTATCCCTTGCACCCAAAAAGAGTCTGACAAGATTGTGGCACATCAACTACAGAGCCCATGAGCAAGCTTCAATGGGAGGTGAATAAAGAGCAACCAGGGAACGCTGTACCTTTAAGAGGGGACTCAAGGGTGAGGCCTGATTCCTGGGAGAAAGGTGAGAGACAGATCAGGTGGTGCTGGAACATTCTGAAACAGGCTCCCAACACTGAGAAAGGGGCTCAGAACTGGAGCCAGGCAGCCCTGAAAAGCCTACACTGCTTGATGAGGTGGGGGAAAGAAAGGGAGGAGGAGACAGAAAATGGGAAGAATGTCCCTCGCCCTAGCCCATTTGCAGATGCTTGGTGCACTCACCAGCATTTCAGATGCAAAGGAGAGGGCCCCTGGAGAGAGCCTGCCTGCAAGAGACAAAGACTATGGGCTGGTCTACACTGGGGGGGGGGGGGAATCGACCCAAGATACGCAACTTCAGCTACGCGAATAGCGTAGCTGAAGTCGAAGTATCTTGGATCGAATTACCTGGGGTCCAGACGGCACGGGATCGATGGCCGCGGCTCCCCCGTCGACTGCGCTACCGCTGCTCGCTCTGGTGGAGTTCCGGAATTGACGGTGAGCACGTTTGGGGATCGATATATTGCGTCTTAACGAGACGCGATATATCGATCCCGGATAAATTGATTGCTACCCGCCGATACGGCGGGTAGTGAAGACGTACCCTTTCTGCGGTGGACATTTGGAAATTAAGATGCCTAGAAGAGTTGCATGGGACTCTAGCCTGCTGTCTCACTGGAGGATTCACCGTTGCTGGACTCAGGGTTTCTCTGTCTCCTTGGAGATGTTCAGTACATGTGTAGGTGTAAAAGTGGGCAGACTGAAGACTTCATTAATGTAAAACAAGAAAAATAGTCCCAATACAAGATGCCTACATGGAAGGCGGGAGAGAGACTGCCACATTCCTACTGTGTATGCTCTTGGAGACATTTAATTAATGCACGTTCGATGGAGGAATGAAATTTGTTTAGGGGTTTCACTATTTGTGTGTGAAACGAATGGCTTCTTCTACGTGTAAAGTGTTAAATGTACAACATAGTTCCTAGATCAGCTGGGAAATGCTTGACGATGAGGCGAATTTCTACGTGAAGAGACCCACTGACTTCAAAGTGGCTCCTTAGGATGCTCCGCACTGCACAGGATGGTGCCCTCAAACAGCAAGATGTTACTCTCTTTTAAACACACACCTTCAGGACCAAAGCCTCGCATCATAAAGGGGCCTGACAGTTATTGAAGCTGGCCCGTGGGGGTTTCCCTGGAAGGAGTGAACCCCCAGGTGGCAAACAGCCAGTGAGGCCTGTTCTAACATCTCTCCCTCCCAGCCCGCAGCACTGAAGCGGTGAGGAAGGGAATGTTGGTTGTAGCACCACTGCACTACAGCAATCAACCTCTGGTAAATTAGTCCATGGGGTTGCTCGGTTTCTCCATCCATGGGTCGGGACCCAATATTAGGTTGCCAGAATGTTTTTCACGGGTCTTGTGGCCGTTCCTGTGGCTCCCATCCCACAGCGCTGGCTGGGCTCGCCTCCCTGCTCCAGGCACTGCAACCTACGGGGTCCCAGCACCGCTCAGGTTCAGCCCATCCGTCATGACGACAGGAGTCTGGGTAGGCCTAATCTGAGTGAGTGGCACTGCAACCCCATGAGTCAGCTCCACTCACAGAAATTTGGTCCAATCAGGGGGGTGGGGCTTAACCTGAGCGGCACTGCAACCCCAGAGGTTGCAACGCCCAGAGCCACACTCAGCCAGCCCCACAGCACAGGAACTGCAGGAGCCACCACTGTGGGGTGAGTGCTGGGCAGGACCCAACCCCCTCCGGGGGGCAGGACTGGACCGAAATCACCACAGGGCCTCCACCCCCAGACTATTTACTGGGTTGTGACAGGCCACAGACATTTACAAATAGGTCCCGAGCTCCAAAAGGTTGAGAACCACTGCTCTAAACCATGCTGTGAGGGGCAGAGAAAAAGGCTCAAGATAGGGGAGGCACAAACAGCTTCCTCCTGCTTCATTAGCACCCTGAGTGCAGCTAAGGATTTTGTCTCTTCTCCTTTCCCTGGCTCCTGCCCTTGATTTCAGTGGGAGAGGAAGGTACACATTGGATTTCGGGAAACACTCAGCACCTTGCAGAATTGGGCTCCTGGAGTGCTGAGAGTTTTGCTGTTACCTTGTTTAATGGCTGATTTGCCAGTGCACTATGGAGGAGACCCTCCCCTCATATCCTGCCTTCATTCACCTTGATAGCACTGTTTTCAATACGCGCTTTAATAACAAGTCTTCGTCAGATCGGTAAGATTTTAAATGTGGCTGTGATTTCCAGCAGAGATTGGCGGGATAAAAGTCAACATAAAATCAGATTCTAAATTTAGGGATAGCTATTCAAAGCTCAGTGCACCTGCCACACACGGAAAAAATGGCATTTTGACATGCATGTGTAGCTGAGTCCTGTGATCCTTAAAGGGTGCAAGGAGCGTGAGAAGCTGTCAACTATGCACACAAATCATATCTTCAAAGAAATTGTGTGTGTGTGTGCACACGTGTACATGTGCAAGGACTACTCTGGTAGCTCAGCCTATAGGACAGAAAGATTCTATTGGCCATGAATTAATAAAATCCAGCAGGAACGACTGGGAGATCTTTCTGTGGAACTTGCTATGTATAGTGAAGACAAAATATTATGTTTAGGCTTCGATTGATTAGATTTTTAGCTGTAAATGTTAATAAACGTCAATTTCACCATACTCATAAAACAAGGAAAATAATACTTCCATTGATGAGAATCAAAATTTACAGATAGACAAAGTAAGAAAAATGCAGCTGGAGAACTTATTAGAGTTTGATTTAGGGGTATTTACTTTATGTATTTTGACATGTGATGCTGACAATTTGTGTTTAATAGTTATATAGCTTTAGCTTTTTGAATCCCAACATCTACAGTGGTTAAATAATTATCTAACCCCCACATAATTTCCCACAACTGTGAAAATGTAAATCAATACACACAGAAAAATGCTTAGATCCCTTAATCTTGGGCAACCGTGAAAATTTAAATTGATAAAAAAATTTAAATGCTTTGCAATTATATTTAAAAAATGAATTTCTCCAAGTCGAGTTATTTCTATTTAATTAACCTGGTTAGTAGTTAAAATGCCTCAAAGGGTGGGTCAGGAACAGCAAAAAGATTCCTACATGGTTTATGGGGATGGACAAAGAATACTCACCTACTTAACAGGGGTGTTGTGCGGCTTATTTAATTAATGAATACTTGGTAAAGCGCTCTGAGTTTCTCAGACAAGAAATGCCATACAGTACAAGTGCAACATATTATTATATATTATTAAGACTGGCTCTGCAGAAGAATAATTCCAGATAAATGTGCAATCAAATGATCATTTTAGTTCCCAGTAATTAGATTCAATAGGCCAAAAAAAAAAAAAAAAAAAAAAAAAAAAAAAAAAACCCACACACAGGAGCCTCTCTTTAAACATATATCAAACAATCAGCACATCCCTAACCTTTCAAGCTACAGCCTTTTTGAATAAAACATCTTCAGCTTATAGATATTATTCCAAAAAGAACCAGCCACCATATGTGTTGTCTCTTTGAAATACAGTTGCTATAGCAGACCTTGAATGCATTTCATGTGATATGATCATATTCTATCCGTTCTGGCAGCTGAGAGGTTGCACAACTAAAACTGGCTGCCAGAAATTTTTGAAGATCCCCAGAACAACTAGCCGTGCAAGAAATGACTGGTTTCTACTCGAGCTGGCTGTGAAACTCTCTGCAGCCAGACTGATGATTGCTGTGATCATGAAGCCTTAAAGCTGCTCTCTCCAAGTGGAACAGTCCTGCCCTAAAGCTGGACAGCCACGCACTGCCCGACCCAAGCTCAGTGCTTTGGTCAATTACCTGGTCAGGTAGATTATGAGGGTAGGGAGCAGCTGTAAAGCAGCTCTCCATTCTTGGGTTGCCAATTCAGGTTGGACGTATTCCTGGAGGTTTCATCACACGACATAATCTTTAATTAAAGATTAACCTTTAATTCCTGTAGACTCCAGTGCAATCCTGGAGGTTTGGCAATGATACTCCATTCCCATACCCCAGTCATGTGCCTAAGTGGTGAAGACCTGAGCATAGGTGACCAGATAGCAAGTGTGAAAAATTGGGACAGTG